AGAGCAGGGGAGGGGAGACAGCAAGGACAGGGAAGGATTTTTTGGGAAGGAGGTATTTTCTGTTGGAATCTGGGGGCTGGAGAGCCTAAGGAAAGGACCTGAGGGACATTCCCTGCCTCATCCCTGTGGCTGTGTCTCCCCAGGAATACGATGGATACGGCTGGTGGGTTGGAGAGCTCAACGATGAGATCGGGATCGTCCCGAGGGATTACCTGATGCCAGCCTATGAGCTGGAGGAGCAGTGAGGACAGCAGCACCTCAGGTGAGAGGTGGCACCGAGGGAGGTGGGTGGCTCTGTCCCTGGGCTGTCGCAGCATCTCCAAAGGGCTGAGCCTTGAGAACTGTCTTTGGCTCCATCTCCTGGTCTGTTTTACCTGGGAACAGGCGACACCAGGAACGCAGTGGCTGTTCAGGGGCAGTGTCACCCTGCCCAGTGTCCTCCCTGGATTTCAAATCCTTCAGATTTCAAGGGAGAAACGTGGGAAAGCCACGCAAGCCATGGGACCTGGAGAGCTGTGTCCCTGTGCCACCAACGCTGGCACATACAGTTGGGTTTCTCAAAAAAATAAACATTATGGAGGCATTTGGGGAAACTAAGGCACAAGACAGGGCTGTGGGAAAGTGGAAGGGACCTGCAGCCAAGCTAGAGGCAGATTCCTGCCTGTTCTCCAGTTCACCTGGAGATCTCCCACCTTCATTATCCCTCTGCACCTGTGCCAGTCCCAACCTTCCCCTTCGCCAGCATCACCTGCATCTCTCCCCCTTCCCAAATCCAGGTGGTGCCTCTCTCTCCCTGGCCACGCTGAGACACGAGTGACACCATCCCCACGACCAACCTCTCCCTGCCATGAGCATCCGTGGCACGAAGAGCCCCTCGCGGTGCCCTGGAGCCCACCCTGCCCCGTGGTACCCGCGGGGATGCCACGAGGCCCGCGGGGGTTGGCATCCCGCAATAAAACCCTTTTCCGCGCCACGTTTGGCTGCTCCAGACGTTGTGGTGGGGCTGGAGCAGCAGCGGGTGCGGGCGGTGGTCCCTCACCTCCATCATCACTCCCTACCCCAGCTCTGAGCATCCTCAGAGCCCTCCGGTCCAGGTTAAGCCGCTGGTGAGGATGAACGCAGCGCATCATCCTCCTCCTCCTCCTCCTCCTCCTCCTCCTCCTCCCGCACTTGGCTGAAGGGCCACTAGATGGTGGTAGGTACCTGCTGACTGCAGCCTGAGCGGGGAGGGTGCCCAAACCCCCTGGGCTGAGCGGAGGAGCCCCCGGTACCCCCCAGCCCTTAGCCAAAGGGACAGATGCAAACAGATGCAAGAGCATCCCCCGCGGGGTGAGCCCAGACAGAGACCCTGGGGCTGCTCCAGGGCACAGCTGGGCAGATGTTTGGAGCCAGGAACAACTGGAGGATTCCATGGGACCCCGGGGGGCTGCAGGGATACAGCTGAACCCATCCTGGCACCTGCCACCTTGCCAGGCACGTGGCTTTGTTCGCGCTGGTGAAAGCATCCCCATGTCTTGGGTGTGGAGAGGGTTTTGGGGTACCCAGAGCTCAGCTGGGCAGGGCACAAGCTTGGCTCAAATTCTTCTGGTTTTCCCAAGCTGCTCTTCCATCCCCTTCCCTCTGCAGTGTGGGTGACCCTGAGAAAAGCAACACTCCTTCCACCCAGCCCTCCCCATCTCCTTTCCCATATCCATGAGCATCTTGCAAGGAACATTCTGGGTGGCAGCTGCAGGGCCTGTATCCATCTCTCCAGCAGCATTCCTGGGAGCCCTTTGGGATCCTGGCTGGGAGGAAGGGATGTTCTTGCAGAGAGGGATGCTCTGGTGCTAAAAGAATCAGGCCTTGGGGCTGCCTGGATGCATCTGCCTCAGCCCAATGTGTAGGAAATGGTGCCAGGAGTCTGATCCTGCCCTAAATTCACTGCCTCAGCCAGGATTCCAGTGCCATAGACTGCTGGGAAGATGGGAGAGGAGAGGGAAATGGGAGCAGGATGCTTTGGCCAAGCACAGGCTGCTCCAGCCCCAGTTGGAGCTCCCCAGCACGGTGTGGGGAGGGGATGCACCAGTTTGTTTGTATAAACTGGAGAGATCCTCCTTCCCAGGGGATGAGGATGTGCTGGCTGGAGAGCCTGGCCCAATTCCAGGCTGCTTTTCTGGCAGGGGATGGGAAGGAGAGAGCTGTGCCAGGCTGTGAGGGACCCACAGCACCCACACCATCCTCACCTGCTCCAGGTGGAGAAGGTTACACCTTGGGCATCTCCATGTGCCCAGCCCATCCCTGAGCCCTCACAGAAGCCCAGAGCTGATTCCAGCTGCCACAAGCCCCTGGAATAAGGAGTTGAGCCAGCTCCACACATGGCAGAGGGGACAGTCACCCCCTAGAGCCACTGTCCCCCAGCCCTGCAGGGCTGCTCCCCCCGACCGGCTCTGAGTCACTGTTTTCCCGACAGCTTTGCAAAGCTGATCACCACCACTAAAAATACTTCCTGAAAGGCAGCCAGGAACAGGGATGCAGCCCCGGGGGGGATGGATGGGCTGGAGAGGGGCAGGAGAGACGCTGGAGAGGGGCTGGAGAAGGGGAAAGAAAGGAAGAAGGAGAGGAGATGGAGAGGGGCAGGAGAGGGGTTGGAGAAGGGCAGGAGAGGGGCAAGAGAGGGGGAAGGAGAGGAGGAAGGAGGGACTGGAGAAGGGCTGGAGAGAGGCAGGAGAGGGGCAAGAGAGAGGGAATGAAAGAGGCAGGGGGGGGGGTGGAGGAGG